GTTTCCAATACACTTTTAAGAAATTTGTCGTCGTACGCTATGCAGAAAACATTTTTGTGCACTTTAAAGCAAATGAAGTCAATTGGAATATCATTTTCCACAAAAAAACCTTCTATATAATTCATGGAAATTTATAATTTTGTTATCAGATTCTATAACTTTATGACGGATAACACTGATCTTCTTTTTGTGGAAGAATTGCAATAAAAATGAAATAACCTGACAATGTCGTAACGGAATTTTAAAAATAAAATCTGTGGATATGACTGTAAAAATGTGTCGTATGTTGCCTCTCAAAAATAGAACGATCTGTACAAGTGAAATTAATTTTAGTTTTTGCTGCTAAAGGAGTCTTAGAACTTTTGTCATGATCTTTTCCTGTCCCTACGAGTAGTTATTAATAAGATTCAAGTTGTATAATTACTGCTTCGTCCTATGTACACCTAGGCTCATCAATAACGTTTAGTTTTCTTAAAGGAATGGTAAATCAGGTTATGAACTTTGAACTGAAAACAGCGAAAACCAGTTTTTTAGGAGCGTGGGTGTCATCCAATAAAGTGAACTCCTCGCAAAATAACAATAATTTTATCTGGATTTCCGCTTTAAATAAAAAATGCTAACAGCCTATCGATGTCTAAGGGAAAACCAAACGAAATAAATAAAAACAAAATTAAGGATTTGCTTAACTATATTTTGAGACGTCATCAGTTTTTTCTTAAGAGAAATAATAAATTGTGACTATGAGTGAAAGGACTCAATGGAAGGTGATTTTAAAAATATTAAACATTAATAAAAGGAAATTTTTACTCTTTCTTGCTGGCTGCAATGATGGATTTTCGATGGATAAAAAATACATAATATGTATTGTGGTGAAGTGGTCATTCTTCCTGTTGATTTTACTTTCTTAATTCTTTTCCACTAAGCTCATTTATTCTCAGGTTTATACTATTTTTAATAGATGCCCATACTTGGAAACCCAAGTGTCCACAGTACCCTCACTGTCAACAAACTTTTTTTTTCGAAAATATGGGACATTTATTATTAGAAATTATATTCTCGTATAAGTACCAATTGAACTGAGGACTTTCTGGTAGACACAAAGAATCACCAAAAAATTGGTCTAACGTTGTTTAGACAAAATTTCTCTCGTTCCTGAAGTATAGCTCAAATTCCGCTTCTTCAAAAAAATTATAAAATTCGATTTTGAGAAATTTATTTTTTTACGATAACCCCCTAATTTAAAAACATCTACATAATACGAATCACAGTATTGGAAAAAAAAGCCGCGTAATTTAATCGAACCCACGACCTTCGGGTTGCTAACGGACACTGTAACCGTTACGCCACCAGCACGGCGTTTATAAGCTGTATACAGGGTACTAGAAAAATGGCGCTCTAACTCTAGGACATGTTATTAATGGTTGCCTTTTAGACATTTCACCATATTTTGACTCACGTTTTTTCTGCCAATTTTCGAATATTTGCGGAATTGAAATAACTAAGGACATTTTCTTCTAGATCTCGACTCACATAAGATTTTGTAGTCATTTTTTCGATAACTTGTACCGTTTTTCCAGGATTGCTAATTGGAATAGTTCAGGTTTTTGGATTAAAAAAAAAATCAAACCGTATACCTGTTTCTAAAAGGTTGACCTGAGAAAGTAACATATGGCGAATTAAGTCTTCAGTACGTTGTGTACGGGGGTTTCGGGAGTCCCAAAAAAATAATACAAAAAATTCTTTATGATGTAGAAAAAAACGTAATTTTATAAAAGTAAAATTGGCAACACTGCACGCACCTAATGCGTGAATACGTCCGGCTTACTTTCTGATTTCTTAGTAACGATGGTGATTGAAATCCACTTTTTATTTTTTTAGGACAATAACCATAACAACCAGTTGTCATTAACCCTTGTACATTATTGTTAACAAAACACATTATTTTTCATTAATAAATAAACCAAAAAAAAACATTTAATAAGACATATATAAATTATAAATAAAAACAAAACCAACAAAAAAAAATCCATTAAAGCATAACCAACTAAATACTAGAGACGATGTTCAAAATTCCTACCTTGTGCATATTTGTAAGTAATCTCGTAATGTTTCCAAATTTAGATCATTTTTTGTAAAAGTTAGTCCTCAGTATTTGCTAAGATAAAACTGATTTTGGCAATTGACGTACCCTCTAAGAAAAAAAAAGGGTGGGTGGGTGGTGCTAAATATTAAACTAAAGTTTTATTACTAGTTATTGTGATAATCAATATGTTGTTTAGTTGTTAAACGAGCAAAAGAACCAATTTTAAAATCTTTATAACTCTACCCGAATGTAAGAAGGAATTTTTTTACTATTTTTCCCAGACTCACCAATTGATTCTTTAGAGCGTAGAGGAGAGTTAATCCGCCATTTTCTAGACACCCGATATATATGTACCTTTTTTTTGACAACTTTTAGAGTTGAGTACATGAAATCGATCGGACTTTCAGTATTCAAAATCTTGTTCTTTTATTCATCATGTTGGAAATTTGTCATCTTTTTTCTTTCCGAGTGTAAGGTAGGTAAGTATCCTAATAGAGTTCATCGGGCGACTGAGCACGTTCATGTTTTTTCGACGTTCATGATCCCTAATAAGATAGGTCATCTCTCGTTTCCGTCCGTCGTCTGTGTCGATTTTTATTAGGCAGATAATCTCCGAAACTGCTGGACCGATTGTCTTCTAATTTTATATGTATTCTAGAAGCGTCGTGTAGAATGTAGATGGTAAAACGCGAACCAAAATTTGGCTACTCAAAATTAAAATAACATACTCCTGTATTTGTGGTTTATGATTCTACTTTGATCGTAACTCTTATTATATTTTTTATTGTTTAATTCCTTTTGTTTTTTAGACACATAATACGAAGCTCGATAGCCACAGTCCTAGTCTAACGCTACCACACCCGCTTGGCAAATGAGAGGTTATTCAATCAAGAATTATTATTATTAGTAGATCCGTATTATACTGAACCTATTCAAATTGATATAAGTATCCTTGCTAAAATGTTGATGACGTTATAACAAAATTTACTATAGATAACTTACTTGAAACAGCCTACATAGAGCATTATTTGAACTACATATAGAGGTTGTCATAAAAAATAAAATTGGCAAATTAAATTTTATAATTTTTCGAAACTGTATTTGTTCGACTATCCTTTCAGACCAATCTTTTGATCTATCTATCTAAATCGATTTTTGTTTTGGTTAGTGAACGTCAGATTGACTTAACGAACTTTTTAATAATTTCTTGAAATTAGATTTGTAAATTTAATAACGCACCTTTGAGTTAGTGAACCATTTTTGAGCACTCTGTATAAGGTTGTTATTCAATTTGGATTTTTTTGCAGAAATTTGGATGCCTAAGAGAAACTCGAGTGGATTCCTAAACCATAAGTTTAGGAGTAAGTGATTTTGTAAAATTTACAGAAAATTTACTATGCAAAAATTTTGCGTTTTACACGATATTCCGAAAATACATATAACATTGGACAATAATCGGTCTAGTAGTTTCGGAGAGTATTTGTCTAATAAAAATCAACATAGAAACGGAGACCTACTTTTTTGTAGTCCAAAAGCCAAGAAACGCCATACGCCAAGAACACATGAAATTAGCCATTCATCCGGGGAACACTATGCAATGCTTCCTTCGCTTTCGCTCGAAAAGTAAAATTTTAAAGCATTTAACAAAAATAGCGAGAGATTTACCATCATAGGACAATCCTAAAGTATGTCAAAAATAAAAAAAAATTGGTTCAAGGATTGGGGAGACATCTGTTTCAAAAGACTGTATACACATAGACCTAAAGAAAGCGAAAAACTTGTATTTTCCCATTTTATTAGTGGTGAGGCACTAAATAATTAAATATTCATCAAAATGACTATGATGCCGTATGTAGTATGATTTTCTTTATAAAATAGTAAGAAATTTGATTACTCTAGGTAAATTAATTAAAAAATAATAAATCAATAACTTATCTTGAGAAATTGAAGACATATTTTAAATATTAAGTTAATACAATTGTGTTAATTAAAACTGAAACTGTATGGTTATAACATAATATTTTTGGTTTTCATTTTACAATCGTTTTGTTTACTTCATTTATAGTGTCGTTTAAGTGACGGTTTACAATAAAATACTTCGCTCTCGTGTGACAAGTATTTGCTAATTAGGTTATCTACAATGAATTCTGTTGCAGAGAAAACTACGTTAACTACTAACAGTGTTATGTATATCTAATTAGTGACGCTCAATTATACAAAATTTAAGCACAAACCTCAATAAAATCAATTTTTAAATAGAGAGTTTACAACGATAATTCCTTAATTATGTAACATGTGTTTGTAAAAAGGCACCAGGTGCACTATTTATCTGGATTGATACTAACAATCAATTTTTAAGAACTCGACAAATGTAACTTCCTGGAGAAGACATGTTCCTTTTGCACTTGCAACGTGCAGAAGGCCACAGAATACAATCTTAGGCACTTTATTCGAATAAATTGTGTTGGGCGACAGAAAATTATTGCCCGTGCTTCATGGATATTAAACGTCATATGTCTAACACAAACTGTAAACTAAAAAGAAAAATAAGTATATCTAGAAATATTAATAACAAAGATTTTCGAAACAGTATACCAGGAAATCTGATTATCATTTAAAAAAAAAGTAATATTTTTAACTCTAACGAGGTCTTTTTTTGCAGCATTTTCAGTTCTATTTTCATTATAATGGCTCTTACATTACTGTTAATCAAGCTGTATTCCACACAAATCCCTCTATGTTTTTCAGTCGGTCAACCTTTCGTGCAATTAGAGGCAGCTGCCAGACAGTTTTCTAAAAAATCCAATAAGATGATGAGTCAGTGAACCTATTACAACAAATTAAGCAGTCTAATTAAATACTTAATCATAATATATTAATTGCAGAGCATGCAGTATAAAGTTAGGGTGCAGGGTGACGATTCACTCCGACCGGCCTCGGCAGCGGCCGAAAATTGTACCAGTCAACACTGCGTCGCTGGAGTCTTCAGTTGTCCGCACCAAGTCGTCGCGACGCTGTGCCTCCGAACAGGAAATTCCGTTTTGCAGTGAGCGCGGTAAAGTTTGTGCGTTCAAAAATCGCGATTCTCCGAGATGACAGTGCCAGATATCGACACGTGAGCATGGAGGATGATTAAATCCGGCCGCATCAGCCCGAGATCTTGTTGTTATTGGTGATATTGGATGCGTTTATTGACGATCGTTGGTGGCAGTGCTGGCGTTTGATAGTGGTGACCCATCTAATTTCGTTATGTGTTGTGAACTTTGCCAACTTGTCTTTGTGCCAAAAGTGAAATAATTCCGGCCGGTGTATCCCATTCAGATGACAAGCATGTCCTGGTTTATTCCTGCGATGGATTGGAAGCTGCTGTGCTGCGTGCTACACATTTTATTGCAAGGTAAAATATGTCCAGACTATTCCGCAACCCTTCAGTGGAGGCAATCCCTTGTCATACCCGGAGCAGATGCACACCTTGCGCGAATTAAATAGGAATGTTAGGATATGGGCAGGCTTTTTTTGTGTAATACCACCGAAATGGCGGTGAACAAATACGGAATTGAGATAAAAGAAAATTTTGAAAAAATGTTAAAATGTTTTGCGTACGGTTATTTTGATTTCTTGTTGAACACAAAAATAAATGAACTTTGCCCTTTTTCTCATTTATTTAATATAGGTGCAAACAATGGCAACAAAATTAATTATAAAGAGGAATGTATGCTTGGTTTACCCCAGAAACCAACCATTAATTACCGAAAGATTTTGTGAATAAAAATATTTTCTTTTGGACTTTTTAGAAAACTTTGAAAATTTGTGTGGAATTTACGTGCTGTGTTAATTTATAAAACAGTGAATGTTTGCAGATTTTGTACTAGAGTCCAGGGTTAAAAAATGAGGTATTGTTAATTACGGTCGAAAACATGCACATTTTTTTTATTGTTACAATGAATTTGAAAATATGAAATGGAGTTTCAATTCATAAATCATGGATATCTCCAGCTTTTAGTTTGTTATTACCGAACAACGACATTATAAACCTTAAAAATAAATTATGTGTTGAAAATATTGCTTAAAATTACGTATTTTCAGATGGACCAGTCTGTGATAAGTTACAGATTTTTTTCAAATGATAATTTCATATCCTCTGATTTGGTCATAATAAAATGCATTAATTTTGGAGTCCTTTGAGGTCTTTTCCTTCAATTAATGGATGCAGAGTATCAAATGAGAAGTGTTTGATTGTCGAAGATTTGTTGAGGGTACACGTTTATAGTCAAACATTGTCAAAAATATTTGTTAAAATGTGGTTTTCCACAAGTACAATCGTAAGAAATGACGTACAGTAGCTCTCAAAAAATAGCATATCGCGGATCCCAAATCGGTATGGGGGTTATGTATTTGGCAACAGATATTTTTTTTTTTGTGTTATGTACTTTTGTCTTACGGTTTTTAGCCTTGCAGGAGATAACTCTATTAAAACATACTGTAAATAGTGGAAAATTTTGAGTCATTTTTGAGTCATTTAGTAATCAAATATTTGTAAAAGCAATGTAAATTATAATTATCTTTGGTATCTTTAAATCATTTATTTAAATTAATTTAAATATGAAGAAAACATTACTAAGTATCTTGTAAACGCGGCAAATAATAATTTTACATTAGGATAAAGGTTATACATAGAGAGCGGAAAATATGCAGCAAAATTTTGGGAAATATGATCATATGATATGCATCAAATTTATGCAAATATGCAATAACTTTCTTAATATATGCAGAGATATGCAGTTGCATATGCTCCAAAAATAAAAAAAGCGTAATAACTGAACTAAATTTATTTACAAATTGCAAAAACACCTTACCTTTTATTACAAAAAATACATAAATCACATTGCAAAGTGTTTAATTAGATCTCACTGACAAATAAATGACATTTTTTAAGATAATATTCTTATACTAAAAAATAAATATAGGTAAACAGAACGAACTAAAAAATAGTAGTAATCGACTATTTAATTACTATTTTGGTAACAATTTATTTTTAAATATTTTTTGAAATATTCTAACAAAAAGTTTTCCGGTGATTCTAAAGTACATATGTATTTGTAAATAGAAAAACTGCGTACTGCGTCCACAGATGTAAAAGTACTTATCGGATTAGAGCAGGCACAACAAAACACAGTTCCTTCTTGAAGAATAAGTTCAGGAAAAGGTTTAATTCATAAATTAATTTGAGTTATCTACATATTGACACACATATCTATCGCTTTAAATACTTAAATGCAAACTCACGATGAAAAATAATAGGATAACGTCCCTTCGACCACCATAAAACATACCAGTAATACACTTAAATAACGAACAAAAATATTGAAATGAACGGTATTTCCAAAAGTAATTAGGACCCGAATTTACCTGGAAGGATGGCTTAACACCCAGTGGTTCCTCCAAACTACCATAAAACCCAAACCTTTCCCAGTTATTTGAAGCTCAGGACAATATTTGCAATATAATTCATGAAATTTCGTCTTTCTAGAAAAATGCCGATCGAATGGCAATTTTTTTTTTAAAGTAGCACAAAAATTGATAAAAATGCAAAATATGCACCCGTTACGTGAAATATGCAGCAGAAGGCAAATATATGCAAATATGCAATTTTTTTATAGCTGTATTCATTTTTAATTAGCATGATTCGTTCACATATTAAATATGAAGACTTATATGCAAAAAATAACGGATATGCAAATTTCATAAAATCCGCTCTCTAGACTTATACATATTTGAATTAATATTAAGAAAATAACTTATACTGTTTTCTTTGAAGTTACTAGAGATTTTGAATATTTTTTGGCAGTGATGGGAACATGTTTGCAGTAGTGACAATCAGATATTTCAAAATTTGTAATCGATAATGTTTGAAAATACCCGCAGCCGTAAAATTATTTTGTTGACTTTAATTTATAAACTGATTAATTGATCAGTTAATCATAAACTAATTACTGTAACACTTTGTCATCTATTTAATTTATTTATTTATTAATGGATAATTGTTATTAAATAAATGAAGCAGTTATATGTGTAGTTTTTGAGTATGCACATATCCCATGTCATGACAAATAAAGCCCTTAAGAATGGATCTAAAGTAATAAGATGAAATGTTAATTTACGGTTTTTGTAGTGGTTTAAAACAATATACATTTTTTCATTTTGTTATTATATTAATTTATTAATTATTTATCTATTTAAACAAGTAAGTTAATATGTTTTCTACTTGGCGCATGATGTTATAATTTTTTTGGAAAATCCAGTCACGTTTATTTAGGGATTTTGGGTGTGATAGATGTGTATGGTTACCTTATCAAATGACATTTGACATTTTGTAAATTTCCACTTCAATTAATGAATAATAGGTAGCGTACTAGAAAATACCGACCACTCACTTAAAACCGCTAGTTTCAAAAACGGTTTAATAATAGGTTCAGTTGCTAATTTGTTTCCGGTTCAGCAATGACCCTAATGGTGACCCAAAGTAGAAAGATATATTTTCGTGTTTCTGGTTACGCCTACAACTTTAACTTTACGATGATATTTATATCATAGCTGATTTAATTAACGTAGGAGATGATTGTTGCTTTTGAGGGTTTGGACGAGAATTAAATTTGCGTTATACAAACAATTTCATTTATTTTGTATATATCGCATGACTTCATTCTGATTACGAATTCAGAATGTTGTTGGTCTTTTATATCAGAGTAATCTTAGAGTTTGTACAATTTTGAATGACATTTTGTGCGAGTTCGGTTATCTGCGTCAAGCTAGTTTCCCACAGTCTTTTCTAATTCAAAATTGATATAATCCCATATATTTTTAGAATGTTAAGTAAATGCGGGAAACATGTATGATATATTGAACGGCTTTTTATTTGATGACGCCAGTTATAGAATTGTTCTTTAACATACTAAAGCTTTATGAACCTCATGTGTGACGAGTATTTAAATATTTAAAAAAAGTTGAATCAAAAAGTCAACTAGCGACGGAAAATCAATTTTCGAAGTGTTGTAAATTAAATATATGATGTCATTAAACAGGAATCTTTCAGTTTTTTAAATTACAATATTTCATTTCGTTACGATTTTTTTACCACGAAAATATATACTGGGTGTTTTGTCGTAACTGGTTAACAAAAGTCTGTATCCCCAATACAGTATTGTTTAATCAATTTTGTGGATAATTATTTTAAATTTTAACAAGTCACTTGAAACATCCGGTATAATGAAGTCTGAATTATTGTAAATATTTTAATGTGGATAACTTTGTCATTTGGTGTGGTACTTTTAATTTTATACAAGTCATTTGAAGTATAGTTAGACATATTCTGATATGCCATATGCGTTTGTAAAGTTAGGGAAACTTTATCTGCTGTCAAGTGAGAACACAATTATGACTGATATGGTCATTAAACTACCGTACCCAAACTCTAGTACCGCTTGCCGAGATTGATTAATCACAAGTCCTAAAGTGAAACGAATATTTTATCGTAAATGCAATGTTTTTGTGTAAGTTAAAAACAACTACTTACAATTAAAAAGGTATAAAACAATATAAAATTGCTGTTACATGTGTTTCCATTAATTAATAAAAAAAAACGCTTGTGTTGATCCATTAACCAACCAAACATGCAGTTGATTAAATTATTAGACTTTGATTCAGTCGAACCCCGTGGTTAAATCAATTTTATAAATTATTTTTTGTGTAAAAAATCGAAACAATATTACTGTTTACATTCACTCCAAAGCTACATTTTTTAATAATGCGGTGTGTTTACAGTACGGATTCGGAAAGAGTGAAACGAATGTGTGCAGAAAAATTTAAATTTTCGCACTGCCACCACGAATAGCTAACATCCACATTTCATAAATTAAAGCATATCAAAAATCTAACAATCTACCCTGGATTTTACTGCCCCAAATTCGTCGTGCCTACCTCAAGCCAAGTTTAACTCCGTAAATTAGTAATATACTTAGTCTGTAATAGAAACAACTACATTTATTGATTCCAACCTATCGCTTGCTTATAATTTAAAAAGAACTGTATAATTTAGAAGATGATCTATTATTACTACGTTGTAAATGAGATATCTTAAGGATATTGATTATAAGAGACGAGGAAATTGACATTTGAACTGAAAATAACCGCCATAACTTCTTTAATAGCCGCGTAGCCCGAGTTTATTAATTGATCATTATCTATCTAAAATTGAAGTGTCTGCTCTGTAATTTAAGAGATAAGCAATTAAAAGAGCCCTCTATTTCTGAAAAATCTTTAATTCGCAGTCATTGTTGCAATTGCGAAGTAAGAGCTTTTCCTCTAAAGCAGAAATTAAGACATGTTCCAGAACTATGC